AAGATTTCCCATTGTCTGAGGTTTTTTGAGCAGAGCCAAAAGTTGCGTGATCGGATCACGTGCCGGATCAGGCACGCCACTCTCACCAAACCAAGTGCGCTCGTCGTAATCGCTGACTAGTAGATCTTCTATATTATCACTTTCACTCTCTTCTTGATTATTGCTCGCTTCGCTGTAACAAAAATTATTAATTAATATGCAAATTCACTTTATGAAAACTTCTATCCAAACGATAAATTCGTTTTTAGCTCTTATTTTGTCATAGAAATCGAAAAATTGAAGTTAAAAGTATGCATTTTTACGTTGCATACATTTTGATATGAATATTATTGCTAATTTCTGAAATGACAATACTAATATTCTTATGCACTACACATGATTCAAAATTTGTAAACTTCCTCTTATAACCTTTATAATAATGATAATAATAATAATAATAATAATAATAATAATAATAATAATAAATAATAATAATAATAATAATAATAATAATAATAATAATAATAATAATAATACATAATGATAATAATAAAACTATTGAAAACGATGGGACATTAACAAAGATTGCAAAAAATTAATTAAAAAATTAGAATTTTTTAGAAAAAAAATTTAAGCGATAGTTCACACTTTTTTGTATTGTTAGCGCAGCAAGCATATATTTTAGTTCTTATCTGCTTTGCATAAATGCTTGTATGAAGAGCAGTGCACAGAATGTAAATACTATTTACAGTTCTGCTGAAAATCTCGAATATTTACTTCAACGTATAGGTGTATTTTTTAAATGTTAAAAAGAAAAGTTTGAGCAATTCATATTATCAGATTTGTCTAACACCTCAAATATACTTGTAATCATACTGTTAGTACTGATGGACAAATATTAGTAATTACAATAATAATACTACAATATTATTAGTAATTACAATAATAATACTATAACATTATTAATAATTACAATAATAATAATAACTATAATATTACTAGTAATTACAATAATAATAATAATAACTATAATGTAATAATTTTCGTACTAATTCTGACCAATGATGTCAGTAAAGTGGATAATTTTGAAGTTTAATAAGCAAACTCAGAGATGTTCGTTCGTGTTTAGACTCGTTTTTCAATAGACAATGCAATAAAAATAATACACGCAATTATACCAATAATAATGCTAACTGTG